CACTGACAACTCATGTTCATCTTGGAGTCCACTATGAGATCCCTTTCCGCTTTTGTGCTGCTGAGAGGGTCACTTCCCAGCCACTAGATGTGCTGGATAATTTTGCGCCCTAGGTGTAGCACTTGTCCTTGTTGTACTGCATCCTATTGTGAACTGCCCACTTTTCCAACCTGTCCAGGTCTGCCTACAATTGTTCGCTACTCCCCGGAGTGTGCACTTCGCCCCACAATTTAGTATCGTCTGCAAACTTGGACAGAGTACATTTCACATCCACATCCAAGTCACTGATGAAGCTATTGAAGAGTACAGGTCCAAGGACCAGACCCTACAGGACCCCACTACCCACATCCTTCCAGGTCGATACCAACTTGTCTACTACCACTCTCTGGGTGTGACCACTAAGCCAATTTGCTACCCACCAGACCGTGTAAAGATCTATGTCACAACCTCTTCATTTATTTATGAGAATAGGATGAGATACCATATTGAAGGCCTAGCTAAAGTCCAAGAAAACAACATCTACCTCTACTCCTGCGTCTAAGCATTTTGTGTCATAAAATAAAACCAAATAGGTCAGGCATGATCTACCTGCTACAGATCTGTGCTGGTTTTCCTGATGTATTATTTTTCCTGCTGGACTCCCACAAATACGATCCTTCATAATCTTGTCAAAGACCTTTCCAAGGATGGAGGTGAGACTGACTGGCTGATAATTACTTGGATCCTCCTTCCTCCCCTTCTTGAAAATAGGGACCACCCTGGCCCTTTTCCAGTCCTCCCGGACCTGACCCGAGCACCACGAGCACTCAAACAGCTATACCAGTGTTTCTGCTATGACACTGGCCAATTCCCTCAGTACCCTTGGATGCAGCTCATCCAGGCCTGCTGACTTGAACACATCCAATCCATCCAAGTTGCTTTGCACCAAGTCAGCCTCGACAGTTGGTGGGCTGGTGTCCCTCTGATGCCCATCTAAGAACCCGTTAGAAGACTTATCTTGAGCCCTGTTCAGGAACACCGAGGCACAAAACTCATTGAATAGCTCAGCCTTGTCTCCCCTCTCTGTCACTCCTTGTTCGGTAGGGGTCCTATGCTGCCCTGTGCCTTCCTTTTACTTCCTACATACCTAAAAAAAGACTTTTTGTTGTCTTTAATTTATGTTGCCAACCTCAGCTCTGCAGTTGCTTTGGCCTTTCTAACTGCCTCCCTGTAAGTGTGGGCCAAGTAGGTATACACCTCCTTGGTAGCTTCCCCCTGCTTCCACCACCTATATGCCTTCTTTTTTGCCCTTAGGCTCCCCTGGATTTCCCTGTTTAGCCAAGGAAGTTTTTGGCTTCTTTCCCACTTTTCCCTCGAACTGGGATTGTCTCCCTCTGCGCCCAAAGGATCGCTTCCTTTAGGAACAACCACCCTTCCTGAACTCCCATATCGCCAATACTCTTTTCCTGCAGTGCATCATTGACTACACTCCTGAGCACACTGAAGTTAGCCTTCCTAAAGTCAAGCACTACTAGTTATCTTACCCACCCACATTGTATGATGAATTTGATTGATTGGTGGTCACTATCCCCAAAGTGACCACAAATCTGCAGCTCCCCTACCAGGTCCTCCCGCATAGCCAGCACCAAGTCCAGTAAGGTATTCCCCCCAGTGGGACCGCATATATCACAAATAAATGCTTTAATCCAGGTATGGGCAAAATATGGCCTGCAGGCTGGATTCAGCCTGCCAAGGGACTTTATCTGGCCTGTGGCAGGTCCCTTGGCCCCACCTGGGTCTCTATGGCAGTGGCTCCTTTTAGCTGCTGCTGCCACTGTTGCCACTGGTGGACCTGACCCATCTGCCATGCAGCCATTGCTAGAAGTACTGGATGGAGTGGGCAGGTGGCTGGGGTCTCCAGGGAGATCAGCCAAGAACTCCTACAGGCAGGGCGTACTTGGCTGGGTGGATGGCATGGGGCCACAGGTGGGCAGGGAGTAGCATCCTGGGGCTGATGAGGCTGGGGCCAGGATCCCTTGGCTATGACAGCACAGGGCTGGGGCCAGGGCCTGGGGTAGAGCAGCAATCTACTCCATGGGTGTCCCTTGCCTGCGGAATCTGCACCCATTGCAGGGACATGTTGGGAGTGGATCATGGCTCTGTCATAGTTTCATAGTTTCTAGGGTCAGAAGGGACCTGAACAGATCATCAAGTCTGACTCCCTGCCCTGGGCAGGAACAAGTGCTGGGATCATAATACCCCAGCCAGATATCCCTTCCAACCCTAGCATCTATGAATCTATCCAACCTCCTCTTGAAGACCCCCAAGGTAGGGGACAGCACTACCTCTCTTGGGAGCCCGTTCCAGAGCCTGGCAGCCCTAACGATAAAGTAATGCCTCCTGATATCAAGCCTGAACCTACTCTCAATCAATTTGTGGCAGTTATTCCTTGTTATCCCAGGTGGTGCCTGGGGGAATAGAGCCTCACCTATTTTCCACTGATCATCTGTAAGTTTAGAGATTGGTGATGGTGACTCCATTTCCCTTCTCTTCAGTCTGTCCCCTGGCATCCCTCCCCTGCCCCCGCCACTTACCCTTGCAGCACTCTGGCAGGGGGCAGGATTCAAGCTGCTTCACCGTCACTTCCTGCTCTCCCACTGCCCCAACACTGCTTCCCCTAGCATCTGCCTCCTGCCACCTATCCTCCTACTGTCTCCCTCACTGCTACCTTCTCCATGGCTTTTCTCTGCCTGTCCTCCTTCCATGGCTTTTCCCCATTGCAGCAATGGCAGGGGAGACAAATTTAAGATGACCCTTCAATAATTAGATTCTGTGCATGGAAAATTATAATAAATTAGATTTTTTATTGTGGAATCTCCATCCTTGGAGGTTTCTAAGACCCAGCTATACAAAGCCTTGGCTGGGATGATCTAGTTGGGGATGGTCGGGGGGTGAGCAGGGGATTGAAGTAGATGACCTCCTGAGGTCTCTTCCAACCCTAATTTTTTATGATTCTATCTGATCTTTTCCCTTAGTAATTGATGTCTTCAATCACATACTCTGTGTGTGTGTTTGTGGGTAAGTTAAGGATGCCATAGAAAGCTTTGGACTACACTGCATAAATATATATATTAAAAGGGGAGCTCCTTCTCCATCAGTTTTGTGAATCATAGATTCATAGATTGTGAGGCCACAGGGACCTTGGAAGATCATCGGGTCCAGCCCCCTACACCAAGCAAGAAAGGTAACTGGGGGTCAGGTGACTGTCTAGTTTTCTCTTGAGGATAAAACAGCAGCTACCAGGAGTGGGGCTTGAACCCACGCAGGTATGCACCTATTGGATCTTAAGTCCAACGCCTTAACCACTCGGCCATCCTGGTGTAGGCCTCAGCTGTTCTGGTGCTTCAATTTTTTTGATTTTCTTGCAAGTGGCTAACATGAAACATTTTTGTTTCAGGGTGAACAAGATGTTGAGCTTTTTGTTTTGCCTTTAAGTATGTGTAGGGAGGTAAGAGAGTCACTATTATTATATTTACTCCAATTTAAGATGAGGCGTTTTCCCCCCATTCGCTACTAGGGGAAAAGTCCCATGTCTTAGATTTGAATACAACAGTGGGGGCAGCAGCTGTAGGTCACAGTTGCCACAACCACTGCCCCTGCCTACCACCTACCCGCACAGCCTCCACTCTCCCCACCTTTGTTCCTCACCACTGTTTACCTTCCTCTTACAGCTCCAGCTCTTGCTGGGGCTTCACTCCAGCCAGGGTTAGGGAGCAGAGAACATGTTCTGCCTTCAGCCCCAGCCCCAGCCCAGCCCCACAGCAGCTGCATCTCTGACCCCAGCTCTAGTGGTAAAGCTGCTGCCACCGCAACAGCTGGTGTGCTGGACCACCTCATGTGCTCTGTGCTCTGTCCCAGGACAGAGTGGGGCTCCTGCTGGAGCTGGAGCTGCAAGGGAAGGTAAGTAGTAGTAGGGGTGGAGGGCAGGGGGCTGGCATGGGGGGCAGGCAGCAGTGGGGAGGCAGGAGGGATGGAAGGCAGGATGGCAGGAGGGGCAGGTGCTGGGATAGCAGGTGCTAAGGTGGCAGATGGGAGGGGTCCATGTAAGAGGCAGATGGCAGGGGTACAGGTACCACAGGGGGAGGCCTCAGTGGCAGGGGGCAAGCAGTGAGGGGGATCAGGTGGCAAAGAGCAGGGGTTAGGTAACTTTACTCCTCTGTCCCACCACCACCTTCCCCTCAGCCACTGCTTGCCAATGCAGTGGTGGGGGAATTAAACTAATTATTGGGGTCATTTTAAATTCAGAATCATTTGGGATTTGGGAAAAATGTTATTCAGTAAAAGGCCCTAAATCCTTCCAATGGGCACAGAAGGAGTACTAGTATCGTGGCGTGGAAATGCAACGTTGACAACACCATTTTAATGTTATCACCACCATAAAAAGAAAAAAAATACTGAAGGCAACTGTGCAGTTAATAAGAAGGTGCCTTTGGACTTCACCAAGCTTATAAAAGGGGGAAGCAGTGCTGCAGGGGGTCAGACAGCTCAATGACAACTCAATTAATATAAGTGTACACATAGTTATGTTATAAAATACAAGGACAACATGGAGAACTAAGATAGGACAAGTTTGCACTACGGCGGATGTGTAAAACACATATTGCATTATACATATACATATACATATAAATTTTTTCTAAAATCATCCTTACCTTCACACATGCACATGCACACGCACACACACACACGGTATACAACTAGAAACTTCGGTAACCAAGAGGAAAAAATATTAAAACAAAAACAAACAAACAAAGAAAAATATATATTTATTTCTGAGCAGCACTCTCTACCATGTCATTTATACCCCTTTGTTCAGTAGGGCCCATGGAAAACAGAAATAAAGTGAAACGTGTGCCATGTTTAGCCATGCATAGTAGTGACAGCAGACCATAGTACAGAGATGACAGATTAGCAAACTGTGAACACAGCAAAGGGCAAATGTCAGTTCCCAGACAAAGGGCAGGGAGGCCCAGGACATGGGAATATGCAGGAGATGACACAGACACAATCTTTAGCCTTCCTAAGGAATGTGGATATCATAGTATTGGACAAGTGCTATGTAGTATGTATGTCAGCATTGCTACTTGCATAGAGCTTGATGGATGTGCCTGTTGCGCTGAGTGTGCTCCTGTCTCTGGTGTTTTTGGTTCAGGAATGTATGCTACTGTTTAGCACAACGATGAATTATGGTATGTGTGTTCCTGTTAGAAACTGGATTTCTTGTGTGTGATATAAGCTTGGTGGCAATATGGTTTCAGTATATACTGATTATACTGGTAGTATAGCACTGTATTTTGGACATTGCCTAGGTTTCTTTACAGAGATGTCAAACTACTTTGTGCCTAGGGCTGGATCCAGACTACGAGGCTCTTTGCAGCCTGGGACACACAGTAGTGGTGGTGGTGGACGTAGCTGCTCTGGCAGTGGCTGTCTGTGCTGGAGCTGGAGCTAGGAGCTGCCATCGCTACCATGTGCCCTATGTTAGTGCCAGAGCTGCTGCCACTGCCACGTGCCCCATGCCACAGTAGTAGTACTGGTTCCAGCGTGGGGTGGCAGTTCGGCTGGCAGCCAAAGAGTTAGTACAGTGGCAGCAGCAATGGGCAAAGTGGCTGAAGGGCAAGTGAGGCTGTCTGAGTCTTTGCTCACCTTCTTGCAAACTGATGTGCATGTGCCCTGTGGCCCAGTGTCAGGCTACTCCCCCTGGCCTGGCCCCCCAACTTCCATTGGGAGGGCTGATTTTGAGGCAAAAAAGTGCATGTGATATGCAAGTAAATGTGGTATATTTAGTCCATCTCTAAACATGTATGTTCTCCCCTGCATGTGTACATACTACCTTCCTGAGCATGTAGAAGAACATTAACAGAAGAAGCATCCCATAAGCAGATCATAATATATAAACAGCTCTATTGAGACCCTTGCAAAAGCTGTATAACAGAAACAAGAACAATGCATTATGGCTGCAGTTTTTGGAACGGCTCAAGCACTTATAGCTGAGGACAGATTGTCAAAGGAATTCAACATACTGGGTACAGAGATTCTTTGAAAACCTTGTTCAGTTTATGCAGAGAATGAGTCACCATATAATTATATAACATAAAAAACAGAGAACTATTTTACATAGCTCTTGAGTTCTACTTGCTATGCAACAGTTCTTCCAGACTCTATTTCTCATTATTGACTCTTAAAGGTATTTGCTTCAGGAAAAAGAATAATATTTTCTTCTCAAGTCCATTTGTTTTATATGACAATAGATTTTTTTTTTATCTTCTTAAGGGAATATTCAGAAAACTGACACCTGGTTACTTTCCGGCAATACGCACAGATATATTAGAACGTTTAGAATAAAAGTATTAGACATTAAATTAGAAGTTCCAGGGGAAGACTCGTTGGAACAAAAAGAAAACTTTGGATTATTACTGTTATTGGAAGAAGTTATCTGTCAAAAGGGGATTATTGGCCAATGAGACCAGATCACTCTGCATGCCATGCCCAGGATCAAAGTCAGATTAGCAGGTTTCAAGGAAATCTAGACCCTGAGTATTGACAGAGTCATCTCATGTTCTTCTCAATACCCCTCCCTAAAATGACAAAGTAACCACATGATGATTATTGACAAGTTTCTCTGCATCTAGAGAATGCCCAACATGGGGCACTTTTTAGTGACAGCCCAACAGCAGCTTCAAGAGATTCAGCTTGAATTGGTTTATGAATCCTGATAATTATATTCTAATAATGGGCCAAATTTAACCCAAGTTAACTTGTAGCCAACAAAAACATGACGTAAGTTTTTGTGTCATGACCTGAATATTCTGAGTACTTCTAGGATCAACCTAAGTTATATTAGCTGAAATTCAAACAGAGACAACCTTTTCCCTCTGTGTAAGAGGCAGTCTGGTCTGAATTTGAGAATTGTTTTTATTGAAGTAGGCTGAAATAGACCCATAAGACCCTGAGCTAACCTGCAGTAGAAGAAATATCGTCATTCACTTGCTTATTGAAATAATCATCAGGAAAAATCAGTCGTAATAACTCCAACCCTATAGTTGGAAAGGAGGTTTTTCATCTTCTCTAGCAATTCTTGGGGAGATGATGCCACAAAAAGAGTCTCCAGTTAGTAAAAAAACAACAACAAACCCCAAAAGCTTTTCCTCCACAGCATTAAAGGCTCCTTGCTCACTAAAACAGACTGGACTTCAAGAAAATATTAGGAACATTCAACACTACTAAGACCAAAACCTCTGCCTATTTAAATAATCCACAGTATCCACTCCTCTCATTCATCTTGACTAAATGTTTTCTTTGCAGAGATGTTGAGCTACAGCTTTCAACTATGTTCTTCTTAAGGAGACATTTCCTCACTAGCAGTTCAAATGCAGCATTGGCTTGCTTACTCGCTGGCTGACTACAAATCAGTTTCGCTTCCCCTATAGTCTCCAAATGGAATCTCATTATGTCTCCAGAATAAGTCGTATGAATTTAGATCTTGCTTTCAGTTACAATGCTGTAAATTGTAAATACAGTGATTTCAAACCCCTACTGCTTCTCTACCATCCTCCTCCCCCAACACACATAGTAGAAGAATTACAGGAAAATTCCATGAGCTACAGCTCACTCACAGGCTTTCCACTCTGCTGACTTCAAACAGTCCTTATAGGAGAGAATTGGGTGCCTATTCATTTTCAAGGCATACATATAATACTGTAATAATAATGCAAATACAATCAGAGATTACCTAATGCCCTATCCTTAACTTAAAAAAAAGAAGAAAAAAGTTAAAAGAATGAAATAGCCCAGTTTCTCTATTTATACACAAAGAAACAGCAGAAATAACAGTATCCCATATCCCAAAGAAGAAAAAAAATCACAGCAGTAAAAGCAGAATATATGTCGGTGCAATTTAGCCAAAAAAATGAAATCCGTTTTCTTTTAATGTTAACAGAAAAACACTATGTCCTTTCAACTGCCTATTTTGTAGAGGAAAATTTTAAACATTGCACCCCAAAATCAGATGTTTCTTAATCCTCAAAGGCCCAAAATAAAAGAAAGGAAAACAGATCAAGAGATAATTAGTGCCCTAAGATTTCAAACGTATTTGACAGTGATTCCAGTTAGTGTCTTCCTTTGTGGAATTTCAAAGGCTTTTAACCATGGAAGCAGGAAAATAACACTAAAAACCTTGGACTTTCGATCAGAATATCTATTATGGCTGAATTCTGGAAAAAACAAGTAGTGAATAGCAACTTTAAGAAGCAGACATCTTACCACAAGTCTTGTTACAATGTGGGGCTATGAATAGCTTAGTTGTGATAACCTACCTCTC